GAGGTGGATGGACCTAGAGTCTGTCATACAGAGTGAAGTAAGTCAGAAAGAGAAAAACAAATACCGTATGCTAACACATATATATGGAATCTAAAAATAAAAATGGTTCTGATGAACCTAGGGGCAGGACAAGAATAAAGACGCAGACGTAGAGAATGGACTTGAGGACATGGGGAGGGGGAAGGGTAAGCTGGGATGAAGTGAGAGAGTGTCATGGACATATATACACTATCAAACGTAAAATAGATAGCTAGTGGGAAGCAACCACATAGCACAGGGAGAGCAGCTTGGTGCTTTGTGACCACCTAGAGGGGTGGGATAGGAAGGGTGGGAGGAAGACGCAAGAGAGAGGGGATACGGGGATATATGTGTATGTATAGCTGATGCACTTTGCTATACAGCAGAAACTAACACACCATTGTAAAACAGTAATACTCCAATAAAGATGTTTAAAAAAAATTAAAAAATTTAAAAAAGAAAAAAAAAGTTTTCAACTTAGCTTTTATACAACTTTGTTTTTCCTGGAAGAGAATTCTGCATTTTATAATACTGGGTTGGCCAAAAAGTTCATTTGGGGTTTGGGTCAATCCAATAGAATTTAATGGAAAACTTGGCTTTGCTAAGATGTTCTTATTCTATAAGATAGGACAGCTGTCCCATGACTCTACAACAAAGGTACCACTTCTGCCACGAGGAGTGAAACAAAATCAAGAGACCCTAAATATCTATTTCATATATCCACCCACTCTAGCCCAAGACTATACTGTTTATCAAACAAGTTTGTGTATTTAGTTAACTGGGAATTTTTCAGAAGTTTAAGTTGGTACCTCCTGGTTGGGAAACTAACACCAGTGTTTTCCCAACCTTTCTCCAGGCTGAGAGAACTAATCAACTAGGCTGAGAGGTTAGTAAAAAATGTACTTTAGGTTTGAGAAAACATTTCACAAGATAACCTTTAATTTATTGTGTTTTTTGATAGTTTTCTTTATTGATATTATAGAGCTCAAGTGAAATTGCAATGATAGCAGACATATTTTAATAAGAGTATTTATTTTGTCAGCAAAAAGTACACTGATGAAGGAAAAGAACACTTAGTTATCAAATTTGAACAAATGTACTTTAAAATAAATATACACTATACCACTGGGAATGTTATAGGTGCAACTGCAGCACAGAACACGCACACGTATACTCAGATTACCTGAATACTATGAATGTTGTATCCACTGCAAATTATTCCTAAATTATAGGATAACTACATCCCACTTCCTGATTGCTGAAGTTACATTACCCGTTCCATCTTAATTAGGAAATAGATATGGTAACTATGTGTTAATATTTGCCCTAATGAAAACAATATGAATTTTAAAGTAGGGATACAAAAATGTCATTCTCCCTGAATAAAATATACAATAAATTATAGCTCAATGTTTTTTCTGCACGTTGCTCAAATAATAATTCTGCGTTAAAACAAAAGTACGTTTCAGTTGTAATTATTATAGCAGAGTTCTTAAAAGATTATTGATGCCAGAATATCCATATATAAAGTTAAGTTTATCTTTTTAAAAAGATGGCCACCCACAAGGCCTTTAAATCTCATAAATTACTCACAAGACTTCGGCTGAGGAGGCTCATTCTCTCCTCCAACTGAAGTCAACAGAACAGCAAGGACGCTGTTCCTGCATTTGAGGTGTCTTCAGTAGATGGAGGAAAACACAATCCACATGCTTGGAAAAAATGAAAAACAGCACCATGTGGCACAGGTGAATACATCAGTTTAAAACAGAGGGGAAATTGAGAGGGTGGAGTTAGTAAAGAAAATCCAGCAAGGGGTGAGTATTGAGTTTTCAAATGGTGTGGAATTTAGCTTGGTGGGAAATTTAGTACGTCACAGGAAATTTCCTCAGAGATCTAAACTTTCTGGCCTTTTAAAAATATTTAAACGCTTTCATATTTTGAATACTGTGTCCTAATCTTAGGAAATGCAGCATTATCTCAATTAGCAAAGCTTCTTGTAAGAAAGTCACCCTAATAATAGCAAAGCTTGTTGTAAGAAAGTCACCCTGATAATTAGAACAATTGGGGCCAGAAAGGCCAGGCCCATTTCACTCCACATGGGCCAATGGGAGAGGGAGGGATATCTCTATCCCAGGGCTGGGCCTTTAGAGTTGAAGGCAGAAGGTAGAGAAGACCACGGGGCTTGCATTGGATCCTGGCAATTTGCCTTGGGAGGGGTGCAAGGAAGTTGCTCCGACATAGCGTAAAGGATCAGCAACACATGAGCCAGGGGGTCCGCAAAGTGGGACCCAAGCCTGGTGCAGGCCATGTCAGGAATGGCATTCCTATCTGCAGATAAGTGAGACATCAGATGCTCCTCTTCACTAATACGGACCAGTCCCTGCCCTATTCAAGAGCACTCTTAGTTTTTAGTATGATGGCCACTAGCGAGTTTTACACAAGATCGGTGACTGAGAAAACCCCCTATAGTCAGAGATAACCCAATCTTCACTTCTCAGGCTCTTGTGGCTGTTGGGAAAGAGAGAATAGTGCCAAGGACCGAGGCTGGAGAGGGAGTCAGGGCCTGATCAAAAGGGCCTTGGACACCAGGCTATAGAGCCTCAGGTTTACCTGTAGGCAGTGGAGAACCACAGGGGCAGGGCACCATCAGGTGTGTATTGAGGTCCCGCCAGACATAAAATCCTTCCGGAAGGAAGACTTGGCTTAACTGCGAAGGGGTTTAACGACCAAAACAGACAAATTGAAAAACGAAAGGCACCCACTTCACGTGTCCTGAAGAGAATGAGTTCCCTTCCTTTCTGCTTTGAGTGGGGCTGTGGACTGGGGTGGGCAGATGCGAAGATCCGAGGCTAACTAAGAGGGGTGTGCAGTTTGGAATGGAGCGGGGCTATCTTTTGGGTGGAGAGAAAGTGGGGGAAATGCTGTCACAAAGGCTTGATCAGGCTGGACCGCCTCGAAGGCAGCTGTGAAAATTTCCCCAGGTGTCATTCCAGATTCCAGCCTTGAATGGGCTGCACGCCAGTCTGTGACTCTAGGAACCCGCATGGGCACTGGAGACAACAGGGATTCAGGACTGGCTTATGAATGAATGAATGAACAAACGAACGAACAGAGGTTGGCTTCTAGAACAAGGACAAGGACAGAGTGTATAGAGATCTTGCAAAGGCCAGCAATGCTAAGAGCCTGGACCTCGGTGATGGCTGCTGAGGGATGGACAAGAGGCAGTAGCTTTACTCTGATGGGACTCGGGACACTGACTGCCTATGAGGACTGAAGGAGAAAATATAGGTCAAGAATGACTCTGAGGCTTCTGACCCAGGCAACTGGACTTTAAGAGGAAGAGCAGGCTTTTGAGAAAGGAAAATGAATTTGGTGTAGATCACAGGAAGCACTTTATTCATTAGAGAAGCATTTTAACTCCCTTATAGCCAAGATAACCCATATTTATTACAAAAACAAATATATCAAAAACACTTAGAAATGCAATTAAGCTTGTTTATTGAAACAATATAGATAAACTGTGAGTAATACAGATTGTTTTCAGCGTAATATAGGCATCACACATTTCTCCTGGTAACAGATGATGGATAGATGGCCAGATAAAACACAACAGTAGAAGGAATCTAGAATGATAAATTTTATTACTAGATATCTCCCTAGAGATCAGCAAACCCAATCCCATTTAACAGATGAGGAAGTAAGGACCAGGGAGGCTAGCATTCTCCACTCTACATATGTTTAGGGCACTGACCACGTGCCAGGCACTTGGTGCTGGGCATATAAAAGTAAACAGAACACGGTACCCGTACTCACAGCGCTCATAGCCAGGCTAGTGAGTGAGAGCATCCAGGAAGCAGGAAATTTAGACACAGCCTAGTGAGCATTGTCAGACTAGCATGTTCAAGCTGCGAGGTGTACCCAGTCCAGGCTTGGGAGCAGCCTCCAAAGGCCATGCATGAGCTGACCTGGGAAGGATGAGCAAAAGTCAGATAGACAAAGAGGTTGTGAAACGCTGCCCCAGGGATGCAGAGGTGAGGGGAAGCATAATACGTCGAGTGAATCAAAGGAGTTCCAGTACAAGGGAATTCTTGTCCTGGATTTCAGAAACAATAGTCCCCTGACTCCCAGTTCAGTGCTATTGTTAGAATGCTACCTGTCTCTACAGGTCTCTTGACAAGTATGTGATGATTCAGCACATATATCAATACTCTTGCATAGAAAAAAAGAAGCATATATGGCTCATGCTTACCCAGAAATAGGCATTAAGATTTTCCAAACCCTCCTGTTTAAAATATATCTTTAGAGGAATCATTACTTTGTGTTACAGCTTTTCATTTCCTCCCCAAATGTTTACATCCATTGGGTCATGCCATAAAGCTCTTAAGGCCGGAAGGGATTTTAAGGGATCACACTGTCAGCAGCCAAGGGAGCACAGAGTGGGGGAAAAGGAGGTGCTGGAGGCATGCAGCAGTGGGCACAGTCACTACCCTGGCGCAGGCAATAAGCGGGTCATTGTCTGTAGAGAGCTTAGGCATTAGTACCAAAACTGACCAAAGTCGTTCCGCTCTTTTTATCCCCATGTGCCAGCCATCTAGCAATTCCCAGTAAGGTCGATAACAACACATTCGCCCCTGCTGACCCTCCCCTCGCCCTGTGTATGCCACCACACTTCCCATACACCTGCACACAGAAAGCGCAGCTCCCAGACAGGCTTCGGAAACATCTGAGGTCCCCGTGTTAGCCATCTCTTCATATATCATCACATACTCTCCATTCCATTCCTTTTTGTAAACCTAGCCCAAGTAGTCACAACCACACATACAAAAAAAACCCAAAACAAAACACACATCGAAGTTTATCTTCCTAGAATTATGATATTTATCTCTAATGAAGAGTCTCATCTCTCAAGTCTCAAATCCGGTTCGAGCTGGGGCGGCTGGCTTCTGATGTCTGATGCTGTCCCTTCCGTGTTCACACGCTTATCAGGAGCAGTCCTCTCTCATCCTCTCCGGCTGGGCTGTCTGGCATGTGCTTGGCGGGGTAAACACCGACGGGTCTTTAATGCCCAGCTGTATGTCGAAAAACCGTGTGGACAACAGCACACTGTAATTTTTGGTGAAGGTTTCCTGGACAGGATAACAATCCTTGAGTGTATAAATGCCAATCCAGGTTTCATCTATAGGAGGAAGGCAAGTTGAGTTTTTAATGTACAAGACAGGCAAAATGTGTGTATTTTTAATTATGCAAAATATACATAAAATAGACCATTTTAACCATTTTTAAGTACAGTTTGGTGGCACTAAGTACATTCATATTGTTATGAAAGCGTCACCACCATCCATCTCCAGAAATTTCCCATATCCCCCTGTTGAAACTGTTCATTAAACACTAACTCCCCATTCCTTCCTCCCCCCAGTCCCTGGAAACCACCATTCTACTTTCTGTCTCTATGATTTTGACTATTCTAGGTACCTCATATAAGTGAAATTATACAGTATTTTTCCCTTAGTGACTGGCTTCTTTCACTTAGCATAATGTCCTCAAGGTTCATCCATGTTGTACCATGTGTCAGAATTTCCTTCCTTTTTAAGCTTCAGTGATTTTCCACTGTATGTATACACCAGCTTTGTGTACCCATTTGTCTGCTGATGGACACTTGGGTTGTTTGTACCTCTGGCCTTGATGAATAATGCTGCTATGAACATGGATGTCCAAATATGTTTGAGTCCTTGCTTTCAGTTCTTTAGGGTATATGCCCTATATTGCTGGGTCATCCGGTAATTCTGTGCTTCACTTTGGAGGGAACCATCATACTGTTTCCCACAGCATAAAGGCCTGTGTTTTTGAAACAGTCTTGGGGGAGGTGTGTTGGCAGCATTGCAGAGAAGAGCTTCACATCTATGTATAAAAGCAGATATAATAATGGCAGTAGATCTGGTCGCTGCAACTTTAGTTAGTGTTTGGGGGAAAGGAAAAGGAGGCACCCAAATCTAATGTGTGACTTAGACAAACACCTTCCATGTCACAGACCTCCAGGGCATCATGAAACATCAGAGCCAAGGCTAAGCCCATAATAGTCAAAGTGGCAGAAAGTTACAGGGGGCCTTAGAAGGCTGAGGTGTTTGTTCAAGTGCCTTGCTTAGATTCCAGCGCTACATAACTAGCAGAGTACATTTGGGGACTGCAAATGGAGTTAAACAATTTGATTAAGCTTCTAAATTTCCTTAACAACTACCTTCCTTAATGGACTTAAACATTATTTCCCACCCTGCTTCCTGAGATGCAATACTTGAAGACTTTGTTGAACCCTTACACGATCTGGCTGACTTTCTGTCCGACCACTCCTGGACGGTGATCTGCTCCTGGGGCCCCCCAATGGAGTACTGGTCCTCAAAGGTGGAGTTCTGAGGAATGTCTAGAGGGTCCCAGGGGTCTGTCAGGGTGATCTTGGAGCACTGCTTGGTGGCTTGTTCAATCTGAAACATCACTGCATCCTTATAGAGCAAAATATATTCAAATAATCTGGAAGACAGATTGAAAGAGAACAGTTCAGGACTTTATGTTACAATCACCATGTCTTTTATCAGCATAAAAGCCAAAGGCCTTTGATACAAGTTATTCTTAAAATAGAAAAAAATAGAAAAAAAATAGTTTTGCTGCTAGGCAATCATTTACTTACTTATAAACACTAGGCGCATGAACAACTTGAATATAAAATAATTAAAGTTCAGGGGTCAAAACTGAATATTCATGAGACTGTTACCTATCATACCTATCAATTACCTATTACCTTATCAAGTACCTATTGTATGACAGACCCTGTGCTTGAGATACAAACATGAGGAAGGTGAGGCCCTGGGTTAGCAGCTGGTTTGTGACCTTTTAGCCTCAGAGACACAGGAGGATTTGACTCTTGCCTTAGTTGTTGAGTCCTTGTAGCACTGAGTCAAGGGACCACAGGGATATGTTGAATGCAGGATGCCAAGGGCCTGCAGAGGATGCACCAGACTCCTGTGCCCCACTGTCTCAACTGTCATCATAGGAATGGGCTTTGATGAGGTGCAGCTGTGCTGGGAATGGGCTGAGACTGGCAAGGACAAAAGCTGAGGGGACCCCAAGCGAATGGCTTTGCTGAACTGGATTTGTCTGCGTGTTCTCAACCTCGTCCCTCATATCCAGTGCACACCCTACGTGCAGAGCAAGCCAGAAGTATTCCCAGTCTGTGCCCGAGCCCACAGACTGCCCGCTGTCACCTTGCATGCTGTGTGGTCACCAGCCCTGTGTCCTTCCTAAAGCTAAGCCATCTTGGTGTTGGGTGAAGCTCAGTGGGTTTCCATGCATTCAACCATCAATCTAAAACTCAGGGTACTGCTATTGATCAAGTGGAGTGAGGTTGCAGCCGTGATTCAGAAGTGAAATTTGCAACACCTGAGGGCAGAAGAGCCCAGAGAAGCATCTTTTTGTGAGCAAATAATAGCCAACAGACTATCTGTGGTATGTAAGGCTCACCCCACTCCACAGCCCCCAACGAGGATGCCTGTTCTCCATCCCAAGTCAGGGTTTGAGATTTCTTCAGAAAAAATATTATAAATGATAACTGTCCATATGGTCAAAATAGTACCATTATTAGGATTATATTTCATTTTCTATGAGCTAGCATAAAAATATAAACATAACCTCATTTTATGTATTTAGAAATATCGACCCTGCTTATTCTAGAAGATGTTTGAAATGACTTACAAGGGTAAAACCCAAGCACAGACCTTGAGAAGTGGGAGTGAATGGAGAAAGAAAAGGAAGTGTTCACGTTATGCGCTACTGCTCAGACATGGACCCAACCTCCTAGACTATACCTGCAGGGTTCACATCAAAGTACAAGCCCTTTGGAGGAGTTTGGAGTTGGACTGTCACTGCTTCCTCACTCCCGGTTAAGTCCCTGGCACATCAGAGTCTAAACATTCATGGAAGGAATATAGAAACATTAGCATCAACTATAGAGCATACTCCAGCCATAATATGGGATTCTTGGTCCATACACAGATCCTGCCCCACGATCCTCTCAGGGAGAGTGGCCACCCACGAAGCCCCTATACCGTGTGCTGTGAGGCCTGGCTATCTTCATCCTCCCCATCTCCTTCTGCTTTCCCAAGTTCAAGGTGTTTAGGCTAGAGAGTCAGGCCTAGCTTTGGCTGATACTCCAGTTGCGTGCAGTGATTGTCCCCTGAAAGCTCTGCACCCATGTGCAGGAGAGGGGGTTTCCTTCTTGAAACTCAGCCTCCGAATCCACAGAAGCACAAAAGTGGGAGCCTGGTGGCCATGTTTGTGTACATGACCTGGCCACCCTCCTCAGAGGCGGACATCTGACCCAGGGTGGGACAATCAGATGCTCCTGCTCGGACATGTAGAACTGCCACTGAAGGTCTGCTGGTCAGTCTCTTCGTGTGGCTGGCCATGTCATGTGTAAACACAGGAGCCATGGGAGGCTAATTTCCAACAGGTGAACTGGATAAGAATAAAGAATGAAGCACAGAGAAGCAGCCGCAAGCTGGGATTCCAACAGCTGTTCATTTCCTGGATGCATTTCCTCTCTGAGGCCTGGTGCCTACAGATCCACCTGCGGAGTTATGATAATAAGTTTCCTTTGTTCTAATAACTTTCCTTTTTCTGCCTGGAACTTTTTGTGTGACTCATAACCAGGACTCATTTCTAATACAGTTGAGGACTCCACTGTTCCATCTAGAGCCCTGGAACAGCCGCCAGCACAGCTGTTCTGGGAGAGGCACCACACGGGCCACTGAAGAACCAAGGGCCATGGATGCCCGGTCAGTCAACTGCCAGGGAAGGGGGCAGCAGGAAAAGAACTCTGCTAACTTCACTGTTTTCCCGAGGCCAGCTCTGTCCATATACAGAAGTAAAATGAAAATTCTAGACTTGAAACAATCACTACAAAATGTTAACATTGGTTAATCCTGGGGAGTCTGAACACAGGTGTTTGTTATGATGTTCTCTGTACTTTTCTAAGTTTTCAAAATATTTAATTTGAAAAAAAGAGGGCACAGTATGATACTGAGGTTATGTTGACAATGCCTTAAGTAAAACAGAAAATATTAATTTAATGGGAAACAAAATAGAACTGTATAAGTCATTTTTTTCAAAATCCCATGTGGATATAAATGCTAGTACTGCTACATTGAAAGTTTTGGAAAAGAAGATTTTCATGGCTTGTATGTTTATATGAACGTCTTCATAGTCAAGATGTAGGTTCTCCATCACAACTAGGATAAAGGGCCTGGAGCCCGATAGAGCCAGAAGGTCAAAATGTAGAGATCAGCCAAGGTTGAAATGAATCATCTGCCTGGGATGCTGTGTGGGTAATAACCCGTAGATCTGAAGCAGTGATGGACTTCAACAGAAACTGGATCCTGGGAGGTGAGATCAAAGCCTGGCTCTGAAGTGGAGGAAGCTGTGAGGGCAGGAGTCACCCCAGGGTGCAGTCAGGCAAGGTGAGGGGCTGGAATGGGTGTGAAGGACGAGGCAGGCGGGCCAGCACTGGGTCAACAACAGCCTGCAAACTTCGCCTCCTTGCTGGCCAGACACCAAGCAAAGCATTGTTCCTGGAAGGGCCCTGCTGCTGGGTCTCAGGTTCTCCCCGCCCAGTCAAGAGGTCAGCAGGCCAAGCTTTTCATGGCAACCCGCCCAGTCAAGAGGTCAGCAGGCCGAGCTTTTCATGCAGAGGAGGTGCCCGGCGGGCCACTTAGCCTCTCACCTCGCGGGATAAAGGATTTTTGTGTCTTCTGACAAAATTCTCAGGCTGTGTGGACAATTTCTATTGTTTCCTGAAAATCCATTTTCCTAAAAATTGAAACTAACTTAGAGAAATAACAACTCTCTGCATACGTGTCTACTGATTTTTTAATTTTAATTTTAATTGTGGTAAAATACACATCACATAAAATCTACCATCTTAACCATTTTTAAGTGTACAGTTCAGGAGTGTTGAGTATGTTCACATTGTTGTGCAACCAACCTCCACAACTCCTTTCACCTTGCAAAACTCTGTACCCATTAAACAGCTCCACATTTCTCCCTCCCCCAGCTCCTGGCCACCACCATTCTACTTTCTGTCTTTATGAACTTGACTACTCTAGGTACTTCGCATAAGTGGCATCATACAGTATTTCTCTTTTTGTGACTGGGCTATTTCACTTAGCATAATGTCCTCAAGGTTCATCCATAGTCTAGCATGTATCAGAATTTCCTTTGTAAGGCTAACTAATATTCCATTGAGTGTATACATCACATTTTGTTTATTCATTCATTCAAGGATGGACACTTGGGTTGTTTCCACCTTTTGGCTATTTTAAATAGTGCTGCTATGAACATAGGTGTGCAAATGTATTAATTTTTAGTGTACTATACACATTTTACAAAAATAAATAATGATTTATGTATTTTCTAGCCTGCATTTTAAATTCAACAATTTGTCCTTGGTAGTCTCCCAAGTATTTCCATAAAGTACATATCAATGGAATCATTTTTCCCTAATTTATTATGAAAATTTTAAAAATGTAGAAGAGTTGAAGGTCTAATACAATGATCACCTTTGTATCTACCATTTAGATTCAACAATTGTTACATTTTGCCATATTTGCTTTATCTATTTCCTAAATATCTCTTACAAACAAGACTCTGTACTTCATGTCCCATCACATCAGAAGACAAGTGATGTCCCATTCCGCTATTAATGCTACCAACTTTGATCACCAAGCCACATGGTTACTCTAGATGTCTCCATCATAAAGGCATTTCCTTTTGCAATTACCAAGTAATCAGTGGGTAATACTTTGTGATGCTGAGAATATCCTGTTACCCCGTAACTGTCACCTAATCATTTTAGGTAAAACAATTTCTTGAATCAATTATTTCACTGGAGGTTGGTATGATGCTACCAATGGTACAGCAAATGGTACCTATCCAGCTGTCTATCTAGTATCACTCTGCACTCAGGTTTTTATTTATTCAACATACATATAATTAAAGTCATTATTCCATTTGATGTTCAAATTATCCCAAGTTCAGTCAGTGGGAACTCCTTCCACCTGCTATTTGTGACTTATAACATGATTCCATTAGTCTTTGAGTGATTCCTGGGTTTCTGTGACACAAGTGTCCCAGGCTCATCTTAGACTTTCCTTGCACCATATCTAAAATCAGTCATTCCTCTAAGGAAACCTGGAACTTACTGGGAAACGACTTAGAAACCAACATCTGGGCCCTAGATGTGCTCATTGTCATTGGGAAGTCATTGTTTTAAGGACCTTTCAGTGGTCAGAACTTCTTACGTTGAAAAAAAAAACAAAACATGAATTCATACTGATATTTCCAATCTAAATTTGACATTATAGGTTCTCCCCTATCATTTTTGTTTTTATGTTTACATATATTTTCTCTTCAAATAAAAGTCATGCTTCCCAAAAACATTAGCAAATTTACTTATTTGCTTTATCCTACAATAGCTTTGA